GATAGATAGATAGATAGATAGATAGATAGATAGATAGATAGATAGATAGATAGATAGATAGATAGATATATAGATAGAGAAACTGTGAACAGTATATATTTCATTATGTGAGGCATTTGGTCACGGCCACTCTTTCTCTAAGGCGAGGACGAAGGAGGCACAAAAAATAGAGACCGGAAGAAAGACAGACAAACAATCAGGGACTTACAAACAGAAAGGCGAGTAAGACGTCAGAACGTTGCAGACTAATAGATCTACAGCCGGTCGATGCGCTCAAAGTGACGATAGTTGTCCGCCTCCATCTGCTTCTTCTTCTCCTTTCTCGGGGGATCGAGCTTTTCATTAAATCCAGATACAGTAATAGTTGCAGCTATAACAGGTTATTTTGATTCTCTTGTCCCAAGCTGCTTCCTGTCGCTTTAGGGGTGAAAAAGCTGGGGGCGATATTTTTTCGATCTTCGCTTGTTTATTGTTGTTGGAATTTGGTGGTTGGGGTGTTTATTTGCGCCAGAGAAAATCAGGTTGGGGGAGGGGAGGATAAATTTATTTGTAGAGTAATGTAACGAAGGTTTCATTAGTTTATCTGTAACTGATTGTGTAAGTGAAGGACGCATTAAAGACTTGGGAACAATTCCCAGGGGTATGTTCCTGATCGGCGTGAAGATCGGCTTTCCCCTAAACAAACACTGTCAGTAGTAGATCTATCAGTGGTCGTTCTTGTTATATGAATGACGACAGTGGCCGAGCCCAGCTCCGTTCCGAATGGACAGACCTCTACCTCGCACAATGCTGTCAGCTTTGTTTAACTCACTCCCGCCATCTGACCGACCAACTGAATTGCAGCGCTGCACCTAGTCTACATTAAACACACTCTGCTCAGAATTTCACCGCTCCATGTTTGACGTACTTTCTGACCCACAATCATCCACATGCCCTAGGTTCTTTCCCCGATAATGAAAAGTGAATGAATTGTATAACAAAGAAAAGCATATTAAACCCCCCCCCACAAAAAACAACTGCACACGACTGTCTCACTTTTACAATTCAAGGCCGCGATTTATATGTTTCATCTTTTAGACCTTTTCTCTTCATTTCATACAATAAATAAGTCTCAGCTTTTGACGTGCTTGGGACTGTTTACTGATGAAAAAAACGCAGCTTAGCCTTATGAAAAACACGCATTGTGAAATAGGTACGGTTTGTAACACCGAAAAAAAAAACACACCAAAAAACAAACAAACAAAACAACGAAAAACAAAACAAAACAAAAAACACACCAAAAAGCCAAAAAACAAAACAACAACAACAACAACAACAACCACATCAGCAAAAACTAACCTAGGAATACTATCCCAAGAAGTTAAAGTTAACCGTGCAAGTAAAGCAAGGGTGCAAAATGAGTACTTTTTTTCTTTCCGTTGCATACAAATCGCGAGCTTAGTATTCTGTTCTGTAGTTACTCATTTTTCTGACTGCACTTTACTCTTGTGGTAAAAACTGGAGTAGTTCAAAACAAGACTGAAATTCTACGGAACACAGGCAGGCCGTAATCGTTTTAAGCCTGAAAATGGAGAATTTTCTTCCTCAACTTTTACAGCTGTGACCAATACTCCATGATGTCGGACATTTGAGTTAGTACAATACAGCACGCAGCTCGCGAAATGGTCTCATTGAAAAATTGGAAATCGAGAATGCTATTGCCGTATATTATGAAACAATCCCTGGTATGGTTTTCATTTGTGGTTTCCTCATACAGAAGGCTCATTGCTAGATATTACAAAAATATTTTGTGATGATTCAAAGATAGGTATACATTGCATGAAAGCAAACATTGGTATTATGTAAAGAAGCTATTTTTAAACGTGGAAACATAGAAGCAAATTGCATATAATTGTGCAACAGCATAATATTTCTACCTTTTTGTTTTCATAGATGTTCGGTACTCTTAAGGCAAAGCCATTTACTACACCGAAGCGACCTGAATTGTTCTATAATAACTACCATTTCCTGGCCTCATCTAATTTGCATAACTATTTAAAAAACAACTGGTTCAGACAGGGGAGCATGTGCAACGTTTGTAATAAGAAATCTATTGCTTCTTCTTCACATACTTCTGGACTTAAGGCTGGGAGGGGGTGGGGGTGCACACACACACACACACACACACACACACACACACACACAC